ATTATTTTGTAGATTGCCCCATACAAATGAGAAAGATCCAAAATTATGAGCCTTTATACCAGCGGTTCCCAATCTTTTTTGGCCATGCCCCACTTAAGCATCTTTAAAATCCTGATTCCACCCCACCCCTCTGGTGACATATAATTCTTACTTTACTCAAAAAGTGAACTCTACTCATATGAAGGAAGCATAAAAGGCTTAAATAAAAGGTTTAAATAAAGTTCGAATTGCCCCCGTTAAAATCAAATTTCCCCCTCTGGGGAATGGGCCTCCCCTTGGGAACCACTGCTAACAAAGCTCCACCAAGACTTATAGAAATATACCATATAAATTGTACACAAATTTATAAAATTCAAAATGTCCAAAGAAGACAAAGTAAGAGGACATCCTAGACTGATAAAGTGCAAAAGCTAAGAAGCAACTATTTTTAGAGTGTACCTCTCATCATAATATTTAAATACTTATGCTAGAGCAGGGGTATCAAACTCAAGGCCCACGGGCCGGATGCGTCCCATGCTAGCCCCGCCCCCTCCTGGTTTAGCGAAGGGGGGGAGTCCCGATATGTCACATGATGCTGCTGTGACGATGCAAGTTTGACACCCTTGTGCTAGACTAATTGGCAGATGTATTTATTTCTTCTCCCTTAATAGCAATAGCAGTTAGACTTATATGCCGCTTCATAGGGCTTTCAGCCCTCTCTAGGCGGTTTACAGAGTCAGCATATTGCTCCCAACAACAATCCGGGTCCTCATTTTGCCCACCTCGGAAGGATGGAAGGCTGAGTCAACCCTGAGCCGGTGAGATTTGAACAGCCGAATGCAGAACTGCAGTCAGCGGAAGTAGCCTGCAGTGCTGCATTTAACCACTGCGCCACCTCGGCTTAATGTCTTTTTTAATTCCAAAATTGTCTTCTAGGTGAGTGTGTATGGGTCCCTGTGTACGTTGGTTCAGTTCTTGGTTTTACGGGAAATAAATTATTGCTAAAGCGACATTGATTATTACTACTTCTCCAAGCCTGAAAAAAAGTTTACGCTTTAATAATTTAATCTGAACATTTTTCAATACAGGCCAATCCAAATACAAAATCGCAATTGCTTTTAAAACTTTTGCAGGCATAGTTACGACTTTAATTCAAGGTTAGTCAATAAAAAGAGCAATGACATTTCATCTAACGTGAATGCATATGTGACAATGATTTTCCCCTTTCTTTTTTTTCTTTTTAAAAAAAAACCTGCAATCCACGTCTATTTATGCTGGAGAAATGAGCCAAAAGCTTTCAACTGATACCTTTATCCTCTCCGGCACATTTCAGCACCACCTTTTATCATCTCTTTATGCCATTTGAAAGTAGCAACTGCAATGCTACTAAAGTTTCCCCAGGCAAAGAGAAGACTGGGAAGGCATAGTATGTGCTCCTAATTGGAGTGGGGAGGAGTATGTGAACCAGGGTGGTGGCGGGGAACACTTATGTAAGTAACCCCGCTTGAACTGCAGCAAGCTGAATCAAGATGAGGGCCATTCATAATAATCCCTTGCACCCCCCAAACCTTTTGATACCTGCTGTCCTTCACTAGCAGATCTAAAGAACACAGGCAAAAATTAATAAGTTTTTGGTAGCTTTAAGCAGGCCGGGCTAAAAAAGATTAACAGGAAGTGCTGTTGCTAGATAACATTTTTCGTCTACTTTGGCTTGTATCTACTACGAGTTCTAGAGATTTGTCCTTGTAACCCTGTCTATATCTATCTCATCTATAATTTCACTGAAGAAGAATAGATCTTCTGTCACTTTCCCTGCCAGTAATTGACAGATGCCATCAGTCAGCCCTTGGTTAATTTCAAAAAAACAAAGGACCACTCAATTTTAGCGAAAACATCAGGTTGTTGACCATCCTTGTGGCTGAATTTGGGAGAAAGGGGAAGAGAAAGCTTATAAAATATGTCAATGGCCCAACGAACAGACAGAAAGTGGCATTCTTAGAGGGGAAAAAAGGAAACCACCCCTTTACATTATTTCCTTAGTTTTGCTCAAACAATTTTACAAGGAATTGAATCTGTTTAAATAGCAGCAGGCAGGAGTAAAAAAAAAGGTAGAAAATAATAGAATATTATAAATTCAAAGCGATAACAAAAACACAACAATGGGTTTAACTAAAACCATCCAGATATGAGCAAAGAGAACCTCTTATCAAATTATCTAGGGCTATTGCTGCCCCCCCTCCCGCCCCCAGGACCATGCTTAATAATATACAGGCAATGTAGATTTTCAGATGGTGCTTTTATTAGTCTAATTGACTTACCTGCAGGAAGCTTTCTGCGTTGAATAAATGAATTCACACTTCCCATGGATGCAGTAGCTGCTAAAACTATCCGAGCAAGGAATATGGTTTCCAATATAGATGTCTTCCCTTTGATCACTTGCATCTTGTACATGAAACAAAAATATAAGGCCGAGTAGTTTATTGTTTTACGAATATTGTTAAAACAATTATAAAAGACAGTCACACAATACTTTAAATAAAAAATGCAGCTATTTCCTCAGCAACAATATTACATCTTTGGAATAAAGCTGTCACCTTACCTGCTATTTTAACTATATTTAAACGTAAGATTTTAAAAGCATATTTATTCTTTTATCACCAAAGATAAAATACAGAACAAAGAAAAAAAATATTTTAAATTTTTTTTTCAACTAAATGATTAACTTGGGGGAAAAAAATCTAAAATAAATATTCTTATTTTTTTTTTTAAATTAAATATTCCGCAGGATGGAAAGGAAACTTCAGAATGCGGCAGGTGTCAGGCTCCAGGGAGTCTCCTGACCCAAAGTTTCCTTTCCATCCCGCGTTTCTTCCATTAGCCAAAATCCCGACGATGTTGATAGCTTTTTCTGGAGAGAAAGGGGAGATCTCGCGTCCTGGGAAAAGTCTTCGTGCAGAGGAGATTGGTCCTCTTCCCTTGCTGCACCCCCCCCACCCCAATCCTCCAGGCCAAGCGCTTATTTCAGGGAAACACGGTATATGCACAACATTATGAAATGTAAATATAAATAAGCGTTTAAAAAACCAATTCAGTGGAGCAAACTAACCAATTGAATTGTCAGGCAAACCAGAAAGAGCCAGAAACAAAATGCCAAAATTGATAAAAATTCTATTCGGTATACATTAAGGAGAACCTCCTTAGCTGATTTTAAAACCTAGCACAGATAAGCTATCTGTCAAGATTAATTTTCTAATTCTGATAAACTTACGAAAACTAAGCATATACCAAAAGATTAAATACATTCTAATATTCCTGGTACGTCTTCAAAAAGTTAATAACGATTTGATTAGTGAAAAAAATAAGCTGTTGCTATGAATCCCCTTAAAAATCCACTTTATTCCCCAGAAATATTTCACAGCTTCCATATTTTTCTCTTTTCTTCTACAATAATTTTTCCAATAAACAATAAAAGTGTGAGAAGAGAAAGTGACAGGAGGAAGAAATTGCTTTTCTGCAGAAATAGCTTCTTTTGCCCATTTCCTCCAGTTTTAAAAGTCACCTTTAAAACTCAAGTGCAGAATACAGGAAATCTATTTTGTTCAGAGTCAGCCATTACTCAGAGCAATGTATGAAAGCTTCCTTTCCAGTCCTTAACTGCAAGATTATGTGTAGCATTAATATAAGAAATACATGTAGGGCTTAGACAATTCATAGCTCTATTCTTCGATTTGTTAAGGGGGGGGGGAAGCAAAAGAAATACAAGATCAGTTTATTTGAAACTATTGATATGCTAAATTTTCTTGAATAAATAAAAGTGGCTTCATTATTCAAAGTATGTGACCGTGAAGAACTTCCAAGGCCAACAGAAGTGCTTCTAAAATTGTGTTTGACCAAAAATGGATTCCTTTGAAATGAATTGGGGACAGCAACTTATTTTAACACTTTTTTGTTCTAATTTCTATTGCACTAAATTATTCAAGTATTAAAACCCCAACACACTAAATATTTTCTAGAGCAAGGAATATATGTATATTTAAAGAAGAATGCCAGCTGTAGCTTTGATTAAAATTAGCTATTGTGATATGATTTATATCCTGCCTTTCATTCAGTGCCAAAGTTGCATATGTACTCTTTCCTCCTTCATGTTTTTTCCAGAAACTACCTAGTAAAGTAGGAAAAACTGGCATAAAAACACCCAGAATATAATCATATTAATAGAGTAATTGACATTTAATAAATTAATATATAATTATATGAATTAATATGTATTGTAGTTTAATTTAGTAAGGGGTCAACAAACGCCCAATCCCGGAGTCCTCCGGGATTGGGCGGCATACAAATCTATTAAAATTGAAATTGAATTAAATTGAACTATGACCTACGGGCCAAATAAGGCCGGCTTTTTGTTTTTGTTTAGCCTACAAGCTAAGAAAGCACAAAAGGGTGGGCAACAGATTGCCAGGTCTGAACCTCAACTGAGCTCCGGGGTGAGGGGTGGGGCTGAGGGAAAGGTTACCCTAAGCAACAGTAGTGACCAATCAGCAACCTCCTTGCTAACAGGCTGGGAACATCCAGTAGCTGCCACATTTATTAGCCCGCAGAGGTCTGAAGCATACTTTAAGTCCTGGAAAAGAAGTGACTCATGATAACACCTCCCTGATTCACTGGAATATGAGGAGGAGGAGGAGGAAGAGGAA